ATACGTAACATTGTGTAAAAGTACTGTGGAATGAATTGTCCTCTATTCTTTTACGGTGTACAGTACTGTATTTCTAAGACTTACAGTTCAACGCAAAATATCTCATTCCGCCATTTCATGGTTGTTACGTTCAATTTCATAGTTGTTACGTTCAGGGAGGCCGCTTAATACAGGTAAAAATAACAAAGAAAGGCAAACATAGGACCGCTTCAGGGTGGCCGCCGCCGCTTAATGGAAGCGGCCTCCAAATATAGGTAACAAATACAGCGTTTGTATGAGCGAAAAATCGGGACTTTGAAAACTGGCCGCTTAATTGTATAAGAGGGTGGCCGCTTAAAACAGGGCCGTTATATACAGGTTCGACTCAACTTGATACTTTTCTAATCTATCAAAAATAACTGTAGCCGTCCAGTAAAACCAAACATATTGGAGATAAGACCTAACTTGTTTCCTCAGGTCGTTCAAGCAAAACGAGATGAACATAAAAGGTAAATATAGTCTTTCTCACCAGCGCCTTGCCTTTTACACGTCACTCCACTCCACTCCACTCCAATGTACTGTACTGCACTCTCCTTCACTGTAATCCGTTCCGTTCTATACTATTCCCATATATATTTTGTTCGATTTATGTTTCTCTAAACAAAGTTTTTTACCTTTACTTCGGTTTTTTCTGCAAAAGCGAAACAGATTGTGACTCTGAGGCTAGTGAAGAAGCGCCAAAAGTATGGCAAGAGACTTACATCTAAAAAATTATCATATATCACCTTTAATACGTTTGATTTTCAGGAAATTAATACAGATAGTGAAGGATTTTAAAGTTGCACGGTTGGAGGTAAAAAGCAATTAATTAGGTCAGTTCAGACTCTCTTGGTCAATATTGCATAACTTTCTTATGTTTTCTGAAATGTAAGAGCACAAGCGACTAATCAAATTTTAAAACTGACGGCAATGAATAACCAAGAAATGTCCTAAGCCAAAATAACACATAGTAAGCTACTGATAATGAAAATGATAGATTACACAAACAAAAGAAGCGAATTAATTGAACGAGAATTTGAGACCGCATGAAATGACATTACTGAACCTAAGAAAACGGCAAGAATATTAATGCCATTTAAAATATTATGTCAATACATGCTATATCTTCTCATTTACGTTGTCTTACTCTTGCAGTATAAGATGGTAATGAAAGAGAGGCAAACGTAAGTAACTCAATTAATTCCAAACAATTAATCCATAAACGTAGTATTTCACTTAATACTGCCGTCAAAATTCTAGTCCAGGAAATGTGGTTTCTGCTTTGTTTAAGCTGATAACATCAAGTTTATTAAATCTGAATGTTAAGTAGCATTTCCGGAAACCAAAATTGTCGACGGTACGGACAGTATGGCAACCGTCGTCGGGTTATGACGGTTGATGTCACGTGTTGTCATATTATTAGCTCAGAGAGATGCAATGCCTAGCATGCAACGCGCGGTTAGTGCAGTCTGCCATTTGATGTCATTGTAGCAACATAGCAAAAAAATTAAGAGTTTCTTTCTATTCATGTAACTATTCCTTGTTTTCGTTAAGCTAAATTCATGTCACCGTGTCTACAGCTGTAGATTTTTTATTTCTTATTATACAATTCGCATACGTTATATTAACGATACGAGGCAGAAATAGACTTTTTGCTATTCTAATTATTCAAACCAAAACGTTCACCGTTCTTTTTCAATTCTCTAGTGAAATTGATTATGTCAAGAAGCAAATCGCAGATTTCCAGGCTGCCACAGATGCCCAAGTAAGTTCAAGCACAAATTTGCTTTGAGTTTGAAGTAAACGAGAAAAAAATATATTTTACGCCGTTTTTACAGTTAATAGATATAGAATGTTCAGAAAAATGTTACACCCTTGTTTGGTACCCAGGTTCAATCCATTAGCTCGCTTCTCTACAACTTTATTACGTTGTAGGATACAGAACCTTCCTTGGCGAACATCGTCTACGAGAATTCCTGGCTCAAAGTTATCTTTGATCGTATTGGGCACACTTTTTGTGGAAAGAATACCAGAAGACCTAGAATTTATACAAAGCAGCTGTTTCTCGTTAATACTTTCGTACGCAACCTCAGTTTGAGTAATTAACCAATGCTCCAGGCTGCTTAGTGGGGGACAGTTGTTGCGTGACAGTACCTGACCGCGAAATTAAAATCTTGGACGTCTTCGCTGGCTTTTAAGGTGATTCCCTAGTAAAAGAACTCGCAATAGATTTTCAATGAAACTTGGTATGCTGTTGTTACAGGTCAAGGAGATATTAAAAACGTAGTAAAAAGAGCGGGTCACCGCGCTTGTTTTCACGCCACGATGCTGACAAATACGGCTATTTAGCTGACTTTTGGTGATCTCCGTGCGCAAAAATAGGCTCGATTATTTTTCAATGGAGCGTGTTATATCACGCAGAGTTTGACTTTCTTTGATTGTTTATTCATCTACGTCCCAGAAAAAATGTCTTCAAATACCCTGCATTTTTTTTATCTTTTAAAGGAAACATAATTTGGACATGCGCTGTTGGGCCCGTTATGGATCTCCCTCTGTAGAATTTCAGATTTCATTTGCCAAAAAAGTAGCCATAGATTTCTCTTAATTTTTTTCTCAGTTATTGAGGATATTGTTCTCATTGAAATTATAAAATAAAAAGTGGGGGTCACCGTGCTCGTTTAATAATAATAATAAATAATAATAATAATAACATTTATAATGCGCCAATTCCATAAAATTTTCAAATCCGCATGACAAGATTAAAAACGGAATAAAAAGGCTAAAAAGCTAAAATTACTATTAAAGGTAAACTTACAATGATTTTAAAAAGTTTAAATTACAATTAAAAGTAAACTTACAATAAAAAAACAACTATGATAAAAATGCATGACGGAGAAGGTGAGTTTTTAGCTTGGCTTTGAGAGAAAAGAAGCGTTTATTTCGCTATCGAGTTAGTTTGAGGGAAATCTCTTACGTTTTGTACGCGCACGCGCTTAAGTGTGCGCGCTAATGACGCGAAAATCGTGCGCAGTAGGGATGCGCAGTGCAATACTAAGGAATCACCTTAAGCAACTGTTTTACACGTCTCTATATATAACAGAAAACGCATGGGACAGGCAGGGGATTGAACAGTACGTGTGAAGTAGTCTTGGTCGGTATTACCATTCTGTAGCTTTCTAACCAATAAAGCTTGATTTGTGTTCTTTCTTTGTTTTCTTCAGATTTTACCAAAAAAGGAGAAACCAGGACTGTTTAGAAGACGATTTGGCTGGTTATATAAGCGCCATTGAAGAAACAAAACGAGCTGTTAATACTTTGAATCTCGGTCAACTAACAAGAGAATTTTCTGCCTGATATTACTATGTTATCAAATCAATAAAAATACCTTTCGTACCGCAAGAATAGTTCTCCAACCTATATACAACTGTACATGTCACCGTGGGAATTCTTGGAGAGCTTATGCCTCAAACATTTCCCGTGAAAACTTTTTACCATTACCCATTTTCCCAACAGAAAACGCTCTGCTCTATCCCTCATTCTTTTCGCCAGTTCATGCACAAGTCAGATCACTTTCACCGTTATTTCTGTAAAGTAAAGATAACTGAATATCCCTACATCAGCAACTTGGATGTGATGACAGTAATCACTAATTCATCACACCATATCCTGCTCCCAGAAAACAAGCAACTCTCCTAGAGAATTCCCGGATATCACGCCAATTCCTCCGAGCTTGTTTTTCCTGATTTACTCACTCCATTGCTGTTGACTTCGGGCCAAGAGTTGCGGTCTCTGGTACAGCGAGGACTGGGACGAATACTATGAGGAGGACAATGATGGCATCACTTGTGCAGATGCCCACGGCAAGTTAATGTTCATGTAGAAGAAGCGCTCAGTCTGTTCGGAACGTTTCGAAATTGTCTCAGTGTTTTGAAGATCTAGCATGTGGTAATAATAATAACGCTGTTCATTTGACACTCACGCAGTGTTAATTTCTAACCTTGACTGGAGCGAAGTGCTTTTCGTTGCAATTGTTAAATAAGAGAAAGCACTCGAATCTAAATAAATGATCTCAAGTCATAAATATCTGATTTACCGTGTGTCTTGAAATGTCTATAGAGATCTGTTTCATTTGTGTGAATACATTTTTGCCTATTTTTCTCGCAACTGTCAGTGAAGATAAGCGCCCAGACAATTTTTACAGGAGAAGACGATGTTTACGAGGTAAACAGAGTATTTCATAAAGTTATCCGCTGATGCTGTCTTGAATATTTACAGCAATTTAGAAATTAATCATCGCTCTACAACCGGTCCCCGAAACTCGTGTGACGTCAGTGCTTGACCAGTCCTGGATTCATATAATTCAGTGGTTATCAGCTCATGTACGTAGAACAAAGTGTACCAGGATAAAGTACTCGTGCCCCGTATCTATAATCAAGCAAAAATGGCGACAGTTTCTACAGATCATCATATTGGAGCAGCGGAATCATTTACAAAGCTTTCCTTTAACAAAACTGAAGGTCAGTCAATCTCATTGAAAACAATGTCAGGAAACAAATTTGTTGAAACTACTCTGCTCACTGGCAGTTTAACAAATTTACGTCAGTTTTTCATGCGTCTGTCCTGTTATTGATCATGAATTTTTTCACAACATTCTCAAAGTAGCTGTGGATCCACGCGGCGGTAACCGAGTGGGTCCGCAGACTACTTTGACAATGCTGTTACGAAATTCATTGTCAATAGCATGACAGACGTCAATTTGTTTTTTACAATAACAAATTGCCAAATTGTCCGTTCTCACTCGTTGACGCATCGCACAAATTGCAAATTCATGCGTCTGTCCGCTTATTGACAATGAAAATTAGTCAATGAGCGCGCGAGAATTTCTGGATGTTTACTGTTCGCGCGAGACTGGCACGAGTATCTATGTTTGGTTGGAAGACTAGGTTCTAGTATTGTTACTTAGAAACGAGACACATACAAAATGGCGGACAAACATGGAATTTTTAACCTGGATATGTACTCTTGAAATACTTCGTTGAATCAAGCTTGTCCTGTTGCATTTGACCGTTAAGAAAACACAAATGAGTGCAAAAGGTGGTAGCGTCACTGGGTCTGTCAGAAATGAAGAAAACAGTATGGACAATTCAACTGAACTCTCGAAGATTGAAATGACAGATACTGAACTCTCGAAGATTGAAATGACAGATACTACGGACAATGAAGCGCTGCTAAAAGAAAGTTTTAATATTGATGAATCAGAGACTAACGGAGAAGCCAATCCTCGTGAAAATCAGAGTTTAGAGGGAGAAGAAGTGGATGATCAGGTAAGGACTACTTGCACGGTGCTTGAGTTGACTTGACGACTGATGTACGGTGCTTTTTTTTGTGCTTGTAGCTACATTTTAAACCTGCATGTTGCTTAAGTTTATACATGCATGTATAAGACTTTCCTCAATGCCTCATCAAAAACAAGTCATTACTGTTGATGCTCGCGAGAAAAATACATTTTCGTTATATGAGATAAACGTACCAAACTTGTAAAATACATGTACATGTAGACAGCAACAGTGATAAAGTTAAATAGATGATTTCAAAAAATTGATTACACACCTGTTTGTATCTATTTTTTTTTTCAGGAGGCAGAAGAGATTGAAGACATGATAGCTGATGGTTTATCACAGTTAGGACGGTCTGCTGATGGAACCCTTCAAGTTTATCTCAATCTCTTCTTAGCGGTATTAAGGTTTTGTTGTTGCCAGCAGTATTATTAGCAATTACAACTTGCAGGCATTTGCAGAATTTAAAATAGAGCTTGGGAGTGTGGGGTGATACATCAAATCTGGAAATCCTAAATCAGGTTGGATTGGTTTAATATCTGTTTTGTTAGTCGTGGTGGTAACTAATTAATATGCATGCATGCAACATTGTGAAGTGCGAGGGTTAAATTATTATGTTGATGTACCTGTAATCTTTACAGTGGAGCCCCACCTTCAGTCTGCATGTAAATTATTTATTGATTGTTTTTCTCTTTTCACAGGGTTGTGAACTGACAGATATCACATGCTTACAGGAGTACATCCACTTGCAAACTGTAATTATTTCACATAATTCACTCACAGGTGTGTGAAAACTTCCTTCAAGAACATGAAAGTTTTGTTCTACTTGTATTTTTTGTTTTGGTTCTTTTGTTTTATTTCATTTACTTATTTATAAATAGTTTGAGGTAAATTAACGGATCTCATTGCGCTAACAGATTTAAGTCCATTGGGCTGTATGCCTTATCTGGTGACACTTGATGTCTCACACAATGAACTCACCACTGTTTTAGACTTCAAGCCTCCTCTTGGTCTAAGGGTAGGAGAAATGCAAGAATGTTAACCAATTTTAACTATTTATGAAGTCCCTGGGCAGTTATTTCCTAATTTCTGTAATTGTATCTCAATGCATCATCCAAGCAAGTCTAGGATTATTGTTCACAGAAGACAGTGTGGCCAAGTGTTTACTGGGTGGTGGACTTGAGATCCAGAGGTTGGGGGTTCAAGTTCCACTCTGACCACTTAACTGGAGTTGTTTCTTGGTAGACCCTAGTTCAACTCCTTGGTCATGCTTGTAATATCAGGCCAACTGGTCTGCCTCCTTCCAGTTGGGATTTTTAAGCCTATTATGTTTAGTTGATATATTTGTTTCTGTCAGTTTAAAGTTTGAGTTTTCAGTTTCAGTTTTTTTATTATTGCACACTATTTACAGAAAAACAACTTAACATAAGATGGTTTTCAATGATATAGGAAAAATAAATACAGAAAGAAATTAACTAGAAGAAACAATATTTAATTCTGTACAGTGACCAAAGTGGCATGGCTGAGAACTAGATAGGTGTAGGTGTAGCTAAGCATTTTCACCACTATAAACAGCAACATTTTTTTCTCTTGTCAGTAGTGATGTTATAATAACCTTATGATCTACCAGTATGATTAACTTTTTTACACAGGAAGTGATTATGTCCTATAACAAAATAGAAATCCTTCCGGATCTTTCAGCTCATCAGTGCTTGACAAGCCTCACACTGGACTGTATCCTTGAAAAAGCTTTGGGAACAAGG